AGAACTCCGTACCTACTGCCCATCCATGTCTGCAGCGTGGTCGTCAGGCCACAGGAAAAGAGGCAGGATGCCAGGAGCTGGGCAGGGGCATAAGAGAGCCCCCCCGGGGGGAGACTCTGTAGCAGAAGCAGGTGGGAGGCAGAGAGTAGCACCACCAGGACCAAGAGATGCTGCAGAGGGAGTCCGGGGGTGGTCTTCAGGGTCATGGACCAGCTCCCGGAACCCAGTTTCTTAATGCCATGCCCACATCCTCCACCCCCTGCCCCCAACACCCCACCACCCCGCACCCCTGCGTCCTACCTGCAGGGCCAGAAGGCAGCTGAGACCCCAGGGAGGGGGGGACCCACGTGGGCAGGCCCGGGAAGGGGAGGAAGGCATGGGGGCAGCGGACAGCAGGGGCTGGGGTGACTGGGCATCCCAGGGGCCCTCCGATTGGAGTGGGATGTCCTGGATGGGAGGCTGGCGCATGCTGCCCGAGGCTTCCGTCTCGGCTCGGGCTGCCCTGAGCTCGTTCAGGAGCGCGAGAGCGAGGTCAGCTCTCCGCGAGCCTCCCGCGCGGAGGGGGGGGTGTCACTGAGGCGCAGCGAGGGATGAGAGATGAGGGGCAGGACGCGGCCCTTTCACCTTTGCCCAGCTCTTCTGCAGACTTCATCACCCATTAACTGGGGGCCCGTGGGCTCCACCCCTCCCTCCCGGGAATCTCCATCTAGGTCCCCCGCTCCAGGTTCTAGAGAAGACTGAACAGGAGGCCGGTAATTGAACTCCGGGGGCGGGGGGGGAGGGAGGTTTGATTTTCTAGGGTTTTTGGTTTTCTCAGCATTTTCTAGGATTTCCGAAAGTGGGTGATACTGCCCCCTGGGGAAGGATCAAGGGAGGGGGTGAGATCCTCAAGTGCAATTGGGGGTTCCTTTCTGTTCACTTTCAACAGGTAGGTTTTCAGGAAGTACTGAGTGACTTTTCTCTCCTGCAAAGGGGGCGGTGGGCCGTGTGAGTTTGGGACCTGCTGCCTCTTTCCTCCCTCACCAGCTGCGTTTGGAACCATATGAATTACACCGAGGTTCTCAACACTCAGGGCCTGGATGGCCTCAAGAGGGAGGACCTGGGACCCCTCCCTCCGGGCTGTGCAATAAGAAATTCCCCAGGACAGGGACTGGAGTGTTAGCACAGCGAGTAGGGCGTTTGCCTTGCATGCGGCCGACCCGGGTTCGATTCACAGCATCCCATATGGTCCCCTGAGCACCACCAGGGGTAATTCCTGAGTGCAGGGCTAGGAGTAGCCCCTGTGCATCGCCAGGTATGACCCAAAAAGAAAAAAAAAATTCCCCAGGACAGCCGCGTGTAGTATTAAGGAGAATTCATCTTGGGGTCCGGTGAAAGTGGAAGGCAGAGATGGCCTGGGCCTGCCTCAGAGGACCAGATTCTCAGAGACACACGGACTCTGCTGTCTTCCTGGTGACACGTGTACCATAGTCACTGCCACCATCGGTGAAATGATGTTCCGCAAGGAAGAAAGCACACATTCTTGCAAAAGTACTGAAAGAAGTTTACTTTGGGGGCTGGAACAATAATAGTACAGCAGGTGGGGCACTTGTCTTGCACATGGCTGACCTGGGATTCATTTCCTGGCACCCCACAGGGTCCCCTGAGCCCTGCCAGGAGTGATCCCTGAGCAAAAATTAGTCCTGAGCACCACTAGATGTGGTCACAAACAAAACAAAAAAAACAAGGTTCACTTTTTTTGGGGGGGGGGTCACACACAGCGATGCACAGGGGTTACTCCTGGCTTTGCACTGAGTAATTACTCCTGGCAGTGCTCAGGAGACCATATGGGATGCTGGGAATCGAACCTAGGTTGGCCGCATGCAAGGCAAATGCCCTACCCGCTGTACTATCGCTCCAGCCCCCAAGGTTTACTTTTGATGTATACAGAGATGTGTTCTGTTTTGTGTTTTGGACCACACTTAGCAATGCTCAGAGCTTATTTTTGGCTCTGCAGTCAGAATCACGCCTGGCAGGTTCTGGGGACCACATGGGATGCTAAGGATCAAACTTGAGTCTGGGGCCAGAGTGATAGTACAGTGGGGGGAGCATTTGCCTTGCACACGACCAACCCGGGTTCTGTCCCCGGATCCCAGGTGGTCCCCCAAGCACCACCAGGAGTGATTCCTGAGTGCAGAGTCAGGAGTAACTCCTAAGCAATGCAGGGTATGACCCCAAAAGCAAACAAACAACAACAACAACAACAGCAAACCCTGAGTCTGCTGCATGTATAGCAAGTACCCTACCTGCTGTACCTTCGCTCCGGCCCCTGGAGGTTTGTTCATTGACAAGCGAAATCTTCAAACTGCATGGAAGCAATTTCATGTTTGCATGTTAAAAAGCAGGGAGTTCTAGGGACTCGGGGAAGCCTCAATAGTAGAGCGCATGGCTTACAAGTATGAAGCTGGTGAGGTCTAGAGTTTGATCCCCGGCACCACCCTCATATGCCTGAGTTCAGTGAGCCCAACGGCTCTGCTCTTTCGGGTTCCTCAGAGCCACTAGACAAACCCATTCGAATTGCGGGATGGGCCCTGCAGTGGAAAGTGTCTGAGCACTACCGCCACACGTGGGCCTCTGTCATCTCAGAAACAATGAAAGGAAGGGGGAGATTTGGTATAAAAGTCAGTTCTAGGATCTGGGTTAGAGAGGTAGCACAGAGGTGAAGGTACTTGTCATGCACTCAGATGACCCATTCAATCCCCGGTCCCCAGAACAATTCCAGGAGTAATCTGCAAGCACAGAGCCAGGAGTCAGTCCTGACCACTGACAGTGGGACCCTTACACAGATAGGCTCAAGTGAAACATTGGGATCATACCTTGTGATATTCAGGGGTCACTCCTGGTGGGGCTTCTGGGACCATGCAGGGCCAGAGACATCCGCAAGCCAGTGTGACTCCTTGTACTGGCTCTCTGGCTTTAAAGGGAATGGGGCCAGAAAGCAAGACTTGCAAAGGCTTGATCTGGGTTTACTCTTTGGCACACACGGTCCCTCATGTCTCACCAGGAGTGATCCCTGAGCGCACAGCCAGGAATAAATGCTGAGCACCACTAGGTGTGACCTTCCCACAAAGAGTACAAACCCCCCCCCAAAATAGGCATTTCATATAGAATGTCCTCACTTTACAATGAATTCACATCCAATTCACACCCCAACAAACTCATTATAAAAGCTGAAAACTGTGGAGTTCATGCCCAATTCAATCAGCCTAATCAGTGGCTGAATAAATAGCAGTACTCCTACATTAAAAAAAAAAAAAAAAGCTAAAAATTGTTTTTGCCCCTTTTTTGGTCACACCTGACAGTGCTCAGGGATCACTCTCAGTGGGACTGGGATCAAACTTGGGCCAGCTGTGTGCAAGGCAAACGCTAGACGTACTATCTCTCTGGTCTAACTTGAAAATATCTGAAGCCAGAAGCCTTGACTGTCACTACCCAGTATCTGAACTTGCCACTGGGATTCTGCTGTGTCGCTTTCACACCATCATAAAGTTTTGAAAAAAAGAGAGAACTGCCTACCCATACTGTCCAGCAGGTAATTCAAAAGTTGTAGGGAATTTGGGAGCTGGAGCGATAGCATAGGAGGTAAGGTGTTTGCCTTGCATGCAGCCGACCCGGGTTCAATTCCCAGCATCCCATATGGTCCCTCGAGCACTGCCAGGATTTCCTCAGTAATTCCTGAGTGCAAAAGCCAGGAGTAACCCCTGTGCTATGCCGGTATGACCCCCCCCCAAAAAAAATACCTAAAATTAAAAATAAAAGTGTTTATGAAAAAAAAAAGTTGTAGGGACTTCACCTAATGGGATTCTGGGCATTTCAGGAGATTCTTGCACCCCACCCAGGCTCTCTCAGTGGGTAGGGCCTCCCCATGATTCCAAGGAGGGCCCCATCATTTCCAAAGCACCCTGTAGGGGGCAGTATCTCACTCTCCGTGGATCATTTATGCAACCCCAAACACCTAACCTGGCAGCCTGCCCCTTCCTGCTCTGCTAACCAGCCTTGCCTTTAACCGCACTGACCGCAGCCACGTGGGCCCTGAGAGGAAGTCAGGCCGAAAGAGGTGTCCCCTAGGGGGTGTCCTCTAGAGTGTGTTCTCAAGATCATGGGCTCAGCTGGACACGAGGCTTGGCCTCTCTCCATGATCCATAGGCAGTTTCTCACCCAGAACAAATGACCCTGAGGGCCAACCCTGGCCACAGGACAGTCACCACGTGTGTGCCAGGTACCCGGCTGAGCAGTGTCATGGGTGCTGGGGCACTCAGAGCAGGGACCAGGGGCAGCTGATGCCCGTGAAACCGGAGGGAAATGCAGAAATGGGGCTGAAGGGGCCGGAGCCATAGTACAGTGCGTAGGGAACTTGCTTTTGAGCGCAGCCAACTTGGGTTCGATCCCCAGCACCCTAGATGGTCCCCTGAGCACTGCCAGGAATTCCTGAGTGCAGAGCCAAGAATAATCCCTGAGCATCGCTGGGTGTGCCCCCCTCCAACCAAAAAAAAAAAACTGAAATGGGGCTGCAAGATGAGTGGCAAGCTAAGGGGACCAGGAAGTAGAGGGGCTCAAAGGCAGGTGGGGTAAGGTCTCTGAAGGGCTGGCACAGAAGAACAGGTCCAGGCCGTGCAACCGAAAACATTTATTGAAACCTGTTCTACAAAAAGCGTGAAAAACCCAGATAGAAAGCGGCGGCCAGAGAGGCCTGTGAAGAGAAGAACACCACCACGGGAGGCTCCCGGGGAGGAAGAGCCGGAAGGAGGCCTGGGAGCGGGTGAAGACTAGGGTGACGCCAAGGTCCCCGGGGCCCTGGCTCTGCAGAGCTGTCCACCCCACTCTGCCCGCCTTGGCCCCATCAGTCCCTGCTGACCTGCCTGCAGCAGGGACCTCACCAAGTCACCAAGAGCTGGCCCATGCCCCTCCCCCCACCCTACATCCTCTACTTCCTCCCCCACCCCCCACCTTCCAATCCCAGGAAATCTAAAAGCAGAAGACCACCACCAAGCCCAAGGGAGGTACAGAGATGAGAGGGGGCATTTTTTGCTACCTGTGAGGGGTGCCCCGGAACCCCGCGGAAGCTTCCCACTACCAACACTACCCCGGCCTCAAAGAGCCAAGCTCCGAGGTTTGGGGGGGGGTGGGGTCTAGAAGAGTGAGTGCCCCATCATAACTGGCCCAGCACCCCGTCCTCACCCGGGGTGGGGGAAGGGGACAGGGAAGCAGTCAGGGACCCAGAGATGGGACCAACACCAAGAGAGGTTACAACCCCCCACCCCACGCTCCTGGCGCAGTCCTCGGCAACCCCCTTAGCCCGGGAAGATGAAGGACTTGAGGCGGGCCAGCTCCATGAGGCTGAATGGGGAGCACTGCTGGGGCGGGGGCAGCAGCGGGGGGATCGGGCTCCAGGGCCAGGGGGGCGCCAGGCCCTTCGTGTGGTCCCAGGGCCTGGGGGGTCCCGTGGGGGCCGTGTGGTTGGGCGGGTGGCAGGCTCGGCAGGTTGGGGACTTCCTCTGGAACTTCTGACAAAGGGGACAGCTAGGGGGCAGGGTGGGGGTGGCAGGAGGGTCCGGGGGAAGCTGAGGGGGTGCCGTCAGGGAGGCCAGGATACTGCCCCAGAGCGAGTGCAGCCTGTCCGTGCCGCCGGAGGCGTTGGCGAGAGGTAGCGGGCACTGTGACACGTGAGAGGGGGCGCCGGGCTTCAGAAGGCACGCGGAGGTCAGTCCAAGGTCCGGGGGGCCGGAGGGCGGGCGGCAGGACAGTCCCAAGGATTGGTGGAGCACGGCCACGGACGCCACGGCCAGAGCCACACTGCTCACGTAGGCCACAGCCAACAAGCAGGACAGCTGCAGACAGCGAGAGGGATATGGGTATGTGGGTGCCCGGACCTGAACCCGGTGTCCTTTCCCACATGCCCTCCCAACCCCCACCCCCCGCAGCCTGCTTCTGACCATCCTGAACAACAACAACAACAGCCCCCCCCCCCCCGGCTGGCAAGCCCACCATGATCTAGAAACTTCTGCCTGAGTTCCAGTTTGTCGTTCTCTGACTCTCTGACACCATCTATTCCCCAACCTCATCTCCCCGAGGGTTCGGTTTGCCACACCCCAGTCCACTCCAGGGCCTCCCCCCGCCCCCCCGAGCCCTAACATCCATCACCTTTGCCAATCGCTGGCACAGGGCACCCAGGGCCCGCTGCCAGGCCGGCTGCTCCAGCAGCACGCTGAGGTCCGTGTAGGTGTACCAGCCACGCCGCCGGCCCTGCTGCTCGGCCACACTGCGGGCGGGGGGGAGGGGGGGAGAGAGAGAGAGAGAGGGAGAGAGAGAGAGTGTGCCGGAGCCCGTCACCCTCCTCCCGAGAGCACCCACCACGGGGAAGCCTGGCAGGTTCCAAAGCACCGAGCCCAGTGCTGGGTGGAACCAGACAGGGAGGGGGAGCCCCAGGCTTGGACAGGAAGCCCCGGTCTTCCATCCGGCCAAGGTGTACAGAGGTCCCTTGGGTCGTTCTCCTTCCCCATCTCCCTCTCCCCTGAGTCGCATAATCCCTCAGCGCCGTCTGGCACCCCCAGTTTGCCTTCCGGTCCCAGCCCAGCTCCGAGAACCTACCAGCCTTCTAGCCAATTCAGCACTTCAAAAATCTCCCGTGGGTCAGTGTAGAGACGCCAGTCCTGCGGGAGAGGAAGAGAAGGGTCCTGGGCTCGTCAAAGGGCGGTGGCCACTCACCAGCAAGAACCCTGGCGGAAGTGGCCACCACTGAGGCCAGCACCTGCTTACTGCACGCAGTGACCTGGCTCAGTAACCACAACCCCTTACCTCAAGGTCGAAGGGAAAAGAGAAAAAGGAGAAGTAAGTAAGGGGAACTTGGGGAGAGTGGCCCATGTCCCCAGGAAACTCAAGATCCAAGGGGTGCAGAGAGTCTGGGAGCAAACCATCAGATCCCAACAGTAAATGCTGAGTGTGACCTTTGAGGTGAGAGCATTTGCTTCTGGGTCTCACCAGGCCAGGAGCGGGCCCCCTACCTCAAGGGTCAACAGAGGGAGCCACTCACAAGGAGAGAAAAGGACAGTGGGACCAGAAAGATAGTACAGCAGGGAGGGCATTTGTCTTGCACGTGGCCTACCAGGGTTTGCTCCCTCCCCGGCAGCCTATATGGTTCCCCGGTGCCTGCCGGGAGTGATTCCTGAGTGCAGAGCCAGGAGAAGGGCCTGAGCACTGCCAGGTGTGGCCCAAAGAACAAAAACAAAACAAAACAAAAGACAAGAAGATAAATGGAGGGAGGTGGGGAATGAAAATGAGACTAGAGGCCAAAGAGGGCAAAGCCAGGAAACTGGCTCAAAGGGCGGGAACACGGACTGAGCACATGGGATCAGCCCCGGCTGGGATCTCCGTGCCGCGTGATTCCCCGGAGACTGACTGTGATCCCTAAACCAAATATTAAAATAAAAAATAAAGAGGTAATAAAGATAAAACTTGAAAAAAGCATAAAGAGAGTCCGGGGGGGGGAGAGAGAGAGAGAGAGAGAGAGAGAGAGAGAGAGAGAGAGAGAGAGAGAGAGAGAGGTACAGCGGATAAGGAGCTTGCCCTGCATACTTTAGGTCTGGGGCTGATCCAACATCCACACCCACTAGGGTCCCCAAAAGTTCCACCGTGAGTGCAGGGCCCTGAGCGCAGTAAGCCCTGAGCACCCCCGGTTGTGGCCCAGAAGCCAAAATACTAGACAATCTGAGGGCTGGAGTGACAGTACTGCAGGTAGGACACTGGCCTTGCATCGAATCCAGGCCAACCTAGGTTCGATCTGGGCATCCCTAGTATTCCCCTGAGCACTGCCAAAAGTAATTCCTGGATGTAGTGTTAGGAGTAACCCCAGAGGCATTGCCAAGCATGGCCCCAAAACACAGCAAAACGGAAACAAAAAACAAACCAAAAAATTGGCCAGGGAACAGTCAGAGAGAGAGCAAGCTGCCACTCACCATGGCATTGAGGAAGCCCCGCTCCAGGGCATTGAGAGTGAGTACTGACACACCCCCTGCAGCGCCCCATTCATCGTTGAAGACCTCCTCCTCCTCCCCTTCATCATAGAGGTACTTGCTGGCCACCATCTGCAGGGGAGAGATTGGGGGGAAGGGGAGCACAGCGTTGGCTATGGGGTGCCCGGCCAGGCAGGGAGCTGGAGGGGTGGGCCCTCGGTCTCACCATGGAGATCAGGAACAGGTCCGAGGACGACACGTGCTGCAGGTAGTCTGGGTTGCGGTGGCGGAGTCGCTCGATGTACACCAGCGCCAGCATCATGGCACACGGGGAGATGCACGCCTCCCTGGGGGTGCGGGGGCGCCGGGGAGTAATTAACCCCCAGGGCTGGCAGGCAGCTCCCCAAACTCAGATGATGCTCGCGCCTGTATCCTTACATCATCTCTTTGGATGCACTCTCTCTCTCCTCTCTCTGTCTCTCTCCCCCACCCTCATCCTCAGCCTCTTGTTTCTACACTCACCGGGACACATGAGCCACGTATTTCTTTTGGAGCCGGCGAATAGGGCTGGGGGCGGCCTTCTGGAGCAGTTCCACAGCGATGTCTGGGGGTGTGGTGAGGTGCGAAGGAGGCAGTGAGCAAACAGCACCCCACCCCATACACACACACACACACACACACACACACACACACACACACACACACAAATCCCCACTGTTCTCAGCAGAAGCTCGTGACCTACACCCTGGGCCAGCCAGGAACAGGATCACAGTCACAAAACAGAGCCCCGCTTAGCCCCCATCCATTCTAGGCTGAATGTCAGCTTTCCAACATCTTAACTTTGTCATGCTTTCTATTATTATTATTTATTTATGTATTTATTTTTGCTTTTTGGGTCACATCCGGTAATGCTCTGGGGTTACTCCTAGCTCTGCACTCAGGAATTACTCCTGGCAGTGCATGGGGCATCATATAGGATGCCTGGGATGGAGCCCAGGTTGGTCACCTGCAAAGCAAACACCTTACCCACTGTATTATCACTACAGTCCCCTCCACACTTGTTCTTAAGAGAAAATATGCATGCTTTGTTTGCTTGGCAACAGGATGGCTACCACTGGGAAACAAAAAGTTCCTGGCATACAAGTCACACGCAGTGAGGATTTGTAAGACCAAAAATGGATATACATTTAATCCATGTATCACTGTATCACTGTCATCCCATTGATCGTTGAATTACTCGAGCGGACGCCAGTAACATCTGTATTCCTCCCAGCCCTGAGATTTTAGCAGTCTCTTCCTACTGGTCTTTTCCCAACGATTGGAGGCTCTTTCAGGGTCAGGGGAATGAGATCTACTGTCATTACTGTATTTGGCATATTGAATACACCACAGGGAGCTTGCCAAGCTCTGCCCATGCGGGCAGGATATTCTCCCTAACTTGCCAGGCTCTCTGAGAGGCATAAATGGGTAGGAAGTGTCTTATAATGCGTCTCGTGGACGTTTTAGAAAGCGGCCCAGAGCGTGGCTGTGTTTGGGTCGGCTGCCCGGGCTGCGTCCCTCGGGTTGGGGAGGGCTCTCACCCGCCCCACAGCCTGGCGCGGAGTCCACATTTAATCCACGTGGGTTTACAAAAAAAGACAAAAAGACCAGAAATACACACCCTGTACCAAGTACCAAGGTGGCCCGAGGGGCACGCCTAGGGTCCTTCTAGTAAGCATGACAACCCATCTAGGTGTTTCTCACTTCCGGGGGACCCACGGGGCGTCTGACCTGCCACGGGGCTGGAGAGCTCCTCCAAGCTGCACTCCCCTTCCCAGTCCCAGCCATAGTAGAGTCTCCGGCGGAGGCGGGCACTCAGCTTCTGGTGGCCTGGGAGGAACTGAACGGCACAGGAGGGTGAAGGGCAGGGCCGGGTGCCAGGAGGATCTGGGGGGTGGGGAGGGCAAGAGGTGCCAGCGAGCGAGGACATAGGTCCGCCCCCACCCAGCCTGGCATTCCGGGGATGATTGTTTAGCAAAATAGCAGCGCGCCCCCAGGGGGAGGACTCCTCCACGGAAAAGGTTCCTGAGGAGTGACGACGGGTGGTCCGAGAAGAGAAGGGCGCTGGCAGGTCACCCTCGCCCCCCCAAGCCTGCACCCCGCGGCTCTCCCTTAGGGCCCAGGCAGCCAGGGCCTCAAGTAGACACGGATCGAGCGATTGCCTCCCTTAGCTCGGCAGAGAGAGACCCTCCCCAGGCGAGCTCGTGGTCCCGGTCAGCCCCCTCCCCTGTCCCCACCCCGAGGCGAGCGCGGAGGATTCCCCAACCCCTCCCCCAACCCCCACCCCCGCTCCGGGAGCCCAGAGGTCGGGGAGGGGGCGGGCGGCGCGCACTCACCGTAAAGTCCTGGAAACCCGTGAGCGAGAAGGTGCCTTCCTCGTCCTTAAGGAGCCCGGCCAGGTCCATGTCGCCGTCGATCGCCGCCCTGCCAAGGCGGAAGGGAGGAGGAGGAGGCGTGAGGGGCGCGCGGGGCCGTCCGTGCCCGCCGATCCACCTGCCCCCAGCCGCCGCCCTAGCTCGGCAGCCCCCTCCCCTCGCGCCGACGGCGGCAGGCGGAGCCCGGCCCGCCGGGGCGCTTCTTCCTCTTCCGCCCCGGGCGGGGCTGCGGCCTGGGGCTGCCCGGCCCCGGGGCGCCCGAGCTCCGGGGCGCTCACCTACCTCCCCGAGCACCGAAGAGTCCCGGCTCCCCGGCGCGCGCCCTGCTGGTGCCGCCCCGCGCGTCCGCCCCGCGTTTACGAGCCGCGACTCAGCGCCCCGCACTTCCTGCTGCTGGACCGATCGCGGCGCCGGGACCGGAGCAACCCGGGCCCCTTGGCACACTTGGCGCGCCCCGGGTGGAGAAACCGGGGCGGGTCCTCGGGGACCCCCTTGGCGCACACAGGCCCCGCGAGCCGGGCTGGCCTTTGGGGACCGAACTAGATAGAACAAAAGCCACAGAGCCGCTTTGTCCCCCAGTTTTCTGTAGACACACACACACGCTTGAACCGCGCATCAGCTAGAAGGAAAACTTACTTCTCGCTGGATACCTTCCTCGTAGATTAGCTTGACACATCAGCCTAATGAAGTGCGTGTTTTAAGTGTGTGAGTGCCACCTGGAAATGACCTCCAGGAACTCGGGAGCGCCCTGGTGTGTCGTGAGCCTCATTAAACAGCGCGAAGCTGCCCTCCCCGGCCGGGAGTGGGAGGCAGCTTTGTAAACAACGTGTTTTTTGTTTTTTGCTTGGAAACTTACTCCCAGAACCCCTTCTTGTCCGGTGGGAGCAAGAAAGAGCTTGCAAGGAGTCCTATGCCGGGTGGGAGGCGGTGGACCAGTTTACAGAAAAAAAAAAATAGAGAGAGACTGAAGCTGGCGTGGGGGGGAGAAAGGGAGGAGCTGGCTGTAGATCCGGGTGTCGAGGCAGACGCGCGCGGCTATTTGTTTATCCGGGGGCGGGAAGTGGGACGATTGAGTAATGGGGGGGGGGGGTCCGGCCGCCGCCCTCGCAGAGCAAGAGAAGCGGATGCGACGGGGCGGGGTCCCCGCGGACGGGGGCCGGGCACGAGACAGCACATCTTTGGAAGCAGCTGGCGGCGGCCGCCCCTCGGCGTCGCGTGCCCGCCGGGAATTCCGGGCCACCGAGTCGGTCCAAATCACACCACGCCAGGGAGAGGAAAACGAGCGGCCGTGGCACGGTTGCTGGTGGACCAGGCGGACCCTCCGGTCACGACTCGGAGCCGCGCGCGCACCTGCGCAGCTCCGCGGGGAAGAGGGGAGGGGGCGGGGGGGGAGCCGGCCGCGCGCGCAGGCGCCCGGCGCGCCCCGCCAGCGGTTGGGCGGCGTCACGTGACGCGCTCGCGGGGTCACGTGAGGCCGGCGGCGCTTTTTTTTTTTTCCTCCCCCTCCCCGCGGCGTGCGCCCCCTTCCGCCCGACGCGGCCCCGGGGCGGCGGCCGCGCAGCCCTGGCTCGGCGCGGGCTCGGGCTCGGGCTCGGGCTCGGGTGGCAGCGGCGGCGGCCACGGCCACGGCCATGGCGAGCGGCGGCGCCGGTGCCGCCGCGAACCCGGGCGCGGGGCTGGGCCTGGGCGCGGGCCTCGGGCTGAGCCTGGCCATGGGCGAGGCGGACGACGAGGCGGCCACGGCCGAGGCGGTGGGTCGCCTGGCCGCGGCGCTGCGGCTGCGGCTGCGGGGCTGGGAGGCGGCGCTGGCGGCGGCGCAGCGGCTGCTGGTGTGGGAGAAGCCGCTGCACAGTCTCATCACGGCCGCCGCGCTCAACGGCCTCTTCTGGTAACGGCCTGGGGGGGCCCCGGGAGGGAGCTGGGGGGCGGGGGGCGGGGCCGGGAAGCGCGGGGGCGGGAGCGCTGCGGAGCCCCCCCGATTCTCCCTCCCCTCCAGCGCGATCGGCTCCTTTAACGCGGGTGGGGAAAGGGGGTGGCCGCGCGGGATGCCCCTGGGCCTTCTCTCCCCGAGTCTGAGTCAGGGCCACCCCCCACCCCAGCTCACCCCACCCCACCGCCGCTCCCGTCCGTGTGGGCGGTTCTCCGCGCCTTGGCGCCGGGGCCCAGCGCACCCCCTCACCGCCCTGGGGCCTGTGTCTTGTCTTCCCCAAGGTTGCTGTCATCGTCCTCCCTCCGGCCCATCTTTCTGCTCAGCATGTCACTTTTAGCCTATTTTCTGCTGGATCTCTGGCAGCCGCGCTGCTTCTCGGATGTCTCAGGTGCGTGCTGGTGTCTCCGTGCATCCCGCCACCCCCCTCCTCCCCTTCGCTGGTGTTGGGAGCCCGCAAGGGAGGGAAGCGAGAACCGCCCTGGGGGAAGTTGTTGCTGGCCCCAGGGCCTCGAAGGTGCCACCACCCTACTCCACCCTGCTCCTCTCCTCGACTCCCCTCGCCTCCCTTCCCCGCAGGCAGTGGAGTGCAGCCCCTGTCTCGGATTGGGTTTTGCATCCTCTGTGGATTGCAGGGGAGCCAGCCTAGTCCCTCCCCTGCCCTTGTCCTACCGCCTTTTCAAAGTCACTGGGTCTCATTCTCTTTCCTCAACTCTAAACTAGAGCCCACTTCACCGGGGAGGGGAAGTTTGCATCAACTAGTTCATAGGTGTGACGTGCCTGTGGTCAGCCCTCACGCGTGGTGAGACGCCTAGACGTGCGTCAGCTCCTCCTGTGGTTCTTGATGCCGTATATATATATAGTTTGTTTGGATTGCACCCCAGCGGTGTTCAGGAGTTATTCCTGGTTCTGTGCTTAGGGATCAGTCCTGGAGGTGGAGGGGCAGGGGTGCCGAGATAGGGTCATGGGGGTTAAACCCAGGTCAGCGTCATGCAAGCCAAGTGCCCTACCCATCGCCCTGGCTCCACGTTCATGTATTTTTGCTTTTCTTTTTTCCTTTTTGGGTCACACCCGGCGATGCACAGGGGTTACTCCTGGCTCTGTACTCAGGAGTTACTCCTGGTGGTGCTCAGGGGGCCATATGGGATGCTGGGAATCAAACCCGGGTCGGCCGCGTGCAAGGCAAATGCCCTACCCGCTGTGCTATCGCTCCAGCCCCACGTTCATGTATTTAATAGGCCCTTCACGCAACTGTCATTCTTGTGGGGCTCCCTGTGTACAAGGGGTGGCGGACCCAAGTGGCCACCTTTTGGTGATGGCAGAAAGGGGGAGTGTGAGAAGGGCCAGTATCTGCAGGGGGTGTTGGGGGGCTGTTTCAGGCCTTCCCCCACCCCCCACATTCAGCAACATATCTTGATTCTCTCTCTGTAGCATCTTCCCCTGAGGAGCCACACTCAGACAGGTGAGTGCAGGACCCCTCGTGAGGACAAATGCCCATTTCTTGCCTTTCCCTGGCATCATGGGGGGGGGGGGGGCAGTGGCAGGAAGGGGCGCCTTAGAGCCCCCCAGGATGAGCCATGGGTCAAGGGGGCCTGTGGAGGAGTGATGTCCCCACTTCTGGTAGGGACTGGGAGCAAGGACCAGGCTCCCCCGGGGGGGGGGGCGGTGTTCAAGGGTGTCGGTGGCATCCTCGGGGGGTCTGAGTGTGCGGGAAGCCAGCCACCGAGGCCTCCAGGGGTCCTGTCCTGTCTCCCCAGTGAGGGTGCGGGGTCAGGCGCCCGGCCGCACCTGCTGAGTGTGCCCGAGTTGTGCAGATACCTGGCTGAGAGCTGGCTCACCTTCCAGATTCACCTGCAGGAGCTGCTGCAGTACAAGAGGCAGAACCCGGCCCAGGTAACCTCCCCGGTGACTGACCGCGGGGACGGAGGAGGCCCAGGCCCTCCTGGGGCAGCTGCTGCCCTCTGGCACTGGTCCTGGGGACCGGCCCCCAGTGGGATCTCCCCTCCGCGCTCCTGATCCCCCGGGGGGCGGGGGAGGCAGGGGGTGCCTGCTTCCTGTGCCACACTGTTCCACACCACCCGGGCATCTTCATGTCCGCAACTCCAGGCGTGGGAATGGTGGGCGTGTGTCAGTAGGACGTCCCCTGAGACCCCCCCCCCCCCATGCTCTGCCCCGCAGTTCTGCGCCCGTGTCTGCTCTGGTTGTGCCGTGCTGGCGGTGCTTGGCCACTATGTGCCGGGGATCATGATCTCCTACATCGTCCGTGAGTCGGGGGGCCCCTACCCCTACCCCATCCCTTCTCGCCCCCAGACAGGGAGGCTGCTGCTTTGCTCAGGGACCTCAGTGGGGGCCCTCTCTGGGGCGGGATGGGGAAGGGATCGGCACAGCCTTGGGAGAGGTCGGGGTCCGGCTGGCGCCCCCTCTGCGTGGGCACAGGGCCCTGAGCGGGCACTCTTCCCCCGCAGTGCTGAGCATCCTTCTGTGGCCCCTGGTGGTCTACCACGAGCTCATCCAGCGGATGTACACGCGCCTCGAGCCCCTGCTCATGCAGCTGGACTACAGCATGAAGGCCGAGGCCGACGCCCTGCACCACAAACACGACAAGAGAAGTAAGGGAGCGCCCAGACCGGGCGGCCACCCCCTCCCGCCGCCCCCCCCCCCAACCCCCCCACCGGGTCACTGCCCCCCACTCTTGCTCCCCTAGAGCGACTGGGAAAGACGGCGCCCCCCAGTGGGGAGGAGCCGCTGGCGGAGACTGAGAGCGAGAGCGAGGCGGAGCTGGCCGGCTTCTCCCCAGTGGTGAGCACAGACCCTGGTGGGGGAGGTTGGGCGGGAAGCCCCTCTGCTTGCCAGCAGCTTGGTCACGAGGGGCTGCTCACCCCAGTCCATCTGCCTCTGCAAGGTGGACGTGAAGAAGACCGCCCTGGCCTTGGCCATCACCGACTCGGAGCTGTCTGATGAAGAGGCTTCCATCTTAGAGAGCGGCGGCTTCTCCGTGTCGCGGGCCACCACCCCACAGCTGACCGACGTCTCGGAGGGTACGAGGGCCCGCCTGCAGCCCGCCGTGGGGGTTGGACGGTGTGCTCTGAGGCGGTTCCGAGGGGGCCGGACCCCTCCCTCCACTCCTGAGAGACCCAGCCCCCACCACCACCACTACCTCCCCCAGGCAGGCCTGGGCCAGCTCATCTCCCCGTCTCCCGCGTGGTGTCCTGAACCCGTGGCCTTGCGTTCTGACCACCTGTCCTGACCCTCACAGATTTGGACCAGCAGAGCCTGCCCAGCGAGCCCGAGGAGGCCCTGAGCCGGGAGCTGGGCGAAGGGGAGGAGCCGGAACTTGCCCCTGCGGGAGACCTGCTGGGCCCCCCTCAGGCCCGCTCCAAGCGCGCCCTGGACTCGGAGGAGGTGGCGGCGGCGGCAGCAGCCCAGGAGACCTTGCTGCGCCTCTCGTCCCCGCTCCACTTTGTGAACACGCACTTCAACGGGGCAGGCACGGCCCCCGGTGGCGCGCAGCTCTCCCCCGGGGTGCCCGTGGCGGTGCTGAGGCCCGAGGCCCCGAGTGATGACCGTCCTGCTGCACCCAGCACCCTGCCACCCCTCCTCAGCCGGGCCGGAAGTGACCCGGCCACCTCCCCAGCTGTGCTCTCGCCGCCTCCTCCCCAGGACTCGCCCCAGCCTCTGGCTGCCCCTGAGGAAGAGGAGGGGCTCACCACGGAGGACTTCGAGCTGTTGGATCAGGGGGAGCTGGAGCAGCTGAACGCCGAGCTGGGCCTGGGTTCGGGCCCAGAGCCCGCCCCAGAGCCCCCCGGGGCCGCGGGATCCACTGTCGCTGTCCCGGCCCCGGCACAGTCAGACCTAGAGGCCCAGGCAGGGGGAGAGCCCTGAGCCGTGGACGGGGGGCTTCCTGGTGAGCGGGTTCCTGCTTTTCTCCCTGCCACTGGGGGGGGGGGGGCGTGGGGAGGAGGGGAGCTGGCTGTCATCTGGAGATCTGGAGCACGTCCCCACTGTGGCCTGCACCCACCCACCACCTCTGAACGGGAGCGCATCACGCCGGGACGCGGTTTTAAGTTTTTCAGTCCTTTGCCGTTGGGACTCGGGGAGGTGAACAGGGCTAGGAGCGTCTGTCCCCCCGCCCGCACCGGCCTTCCTTCCTCATCTCTATTCTCCACTCCGCACCCGCCCCGGGCCTCTGTCCCCGCCTTCCTCCTCCTGTCCTCAGGGACCCGTGCTGCTCTGTCCTTGTGTTTAGATCAGGCACTTTATTGTCTCTCTCTATCTCTCTTCCTGCGTCCCTCCCCTGCCGTGTCCTGCCCGTCTTCCCTTTGCCAGCTCCTTCCCCACGAGGCCTGTCAGACCAGCACTGCGAGCAGAGCCCTGGAACCTTCCACCCCGTACCCGGGTTCAGCCCAGCCGCCTGTACATGGTCGGGGAGGCGAGCAAGGGGCCCTGCGAGCAGGAACTGGGCCCGGTGGGAACGAGGGGCTTGCTGGCTGGCCCAGGGAGGAGGAGGGTGACCACGCCTGGATCAAGGGTGGCCAACTGAGTTGGGGATCCCTCCCCAGGTGTCCCCGGGTCAGGAAGCGGACAGGGACCTCTGTGCAGGTGTCAGCTAGCAAAATAAAGTGTTGATTGGCTAGATCTGCTGCCGCCTGCCTGCCTCCCTCACTGCTCTGTCCTCTCCTTGCCGCCCGAACAGCCGCCCTCCTGGCTGCGGGACAAGTCCAGGTCAAGGCTTGCCCGAGAGCCCGAACTTGCCCTCAGCCATCTTCCCGACCGTGCGGTATGTCTAGTGAGATTTAGCATGTGTGAATAAAGCGTATGCAGGAGGAAAGTGCCTTGTCTCCCCAGTCAATAGACACGTGGGTCCCAAACCCAGGTTCTCTCCGCTGCCTCTCCCAGCACGGTCAGAAGCCGCATGCGTGCCCTGCTCCTGCCCAGGACCATGAAAATCCAATGGCTGCGTTCCATGGGCTTGTTGCTGGACCAGCAACCAGCTACTCACCCAGGTGTGCCCGGCAGCGCTGAGAATTCGAGCTCCAAGCTCATCGCCACATCACCCTCCGTGCTAGTGGCCAGGGAGCCACATTCCAGATGCCTGCACCCCAGAGCCTGGTTGTCACACTCGCCAGAGGCCCTTGTCTTTGTTGGGTTTTTGTTTGGGGGCCATACCTAGACGTATTTAGGGCAGAATGGCTGTGTGAGCTGGAGAGAGGAAAGCAGGAAGGGTGCCTGCCTTGCGTGCAGCCAACCCAGCACTCCATATGGTCCCCAAGCCCTGCCAAGAGTGAGTGTTAAGCACTGCCATGTATGACCCCCAAATAGGATGGTTCTGCTCAGGGAGTCTGTGGGCCCAGATGCTTGGTGGGGTGCCACACAAGTGGGAGCCTAAAGCCCCTGACCCACAATCACCTGATTTTTTTTTTTTTTGGAGTCAGGAGGGTGGACACACCCAGGGAGGCTCGGGAGTTGCTCCTGGCTCGGTGCTCAGGAATTACTGCTGGCTCGTGTGGGATGTCAGGGATTAAACCCAGGTCAGCCACGTACAAGGCAAATGCCCTCCCTGTTGTGCTATCGTTCCAGGCCCACTTCTTTTTTTGTTTTTGTTTTTTGGGGTCACACCCGGCAATGCACAGGGTTTACTCCTGGCTTTGCACTCAGGAATACCCATGGCAGTGCTCGGGGGACCATACGGGATGCTGGGAATCAGACCTGGGTTGGCCGCGTGCAAGGCAAATGCTCTACCTGCTGTGCTATTGCTCCAGCCCCCACAGGCCCACTTCTTTTATCTTTAGGAAGGACCACACCTGTTTGGGATTGGGGTTATGTGGTACTGGGATTGAAGCAGGGTGGAGGTTACCCCTTCGCGCTCTCCCTGAGTTGGGAAGGCCCTGTCTTTAAGGACGTGGGGAGACAGGCAGGGCCCCGAGGACTGGCGAGAAAGCAGCTCCTTGATTCCACTAGCAGTGGGCGCTGCGGTCCTTCCTCTTTGCGGGTGAAGGATATTAGAAAGCCAAAACCGAGCAGATGGCCACCGCCAGGAGTTCACATTCTCTGCTGCAGGTGCCATATGGCAGCGTGACCTTGTTTTGTTTTGTTGGGGCTTTTCTCACTGCCAGAGATTGAACCCAGCACCTCACACGTGCAAAGCAAGTGCTGTCCTGCTGAGTTACACCTCACCCTCCACTACTTGTGCTTTCGTCGTTTATTTTTTGGGTGCCAGGGATGCAAGCCAAAAAATTACACATGCAAGGCCAGCACTTTCCAACTGAGCTATACTCCAAGTCTTGTATTTTTTTTTTATTTCTGGGGCCATAGAAATATAGAAATAGTACATGGTAAGGTGCTTGTCTTGCACACAGCCAAACCTGATTTAATCCCTGCAGCTTCATATGATCTGAGCACTGCCAGCAGTGATCCCTAACCACAGAGAGAAGAATAAATGACCTAACAACCCCTCCACAGATTTTTTTTTTCTACTTCTCTTACAATGATTCTATGCTATGTTTCCTCAGGAGGTGAAAGTTTTTAACATTGGCTTGAGAGAGCATCTTAATTGAGGTTCTCTTGTCACTGAAAGAACATGAGTGTTTCGTCAGCAGTTTCAGAAGAGAATACAAAAACAGTTCCAAACAAAAAGCAATTCGAGAAAAAGAATTAGCTGCATCACCTTTAATCCAATTCCTTGTTAAACGTGTTTGAAGACAGAGCCAAGGGCCCAGGACTTTGATCAAAGCCTTTACGGTAAACTCAAGCTCTGTGTGGGATTCGTCAGCATTCTGCCTGGTCTGATGGGTCCTGCGTGTTTATCTACAATTTAAAAAACAGGTTCGCAGGCTGCCCTCACCATTCCTGCACCCGAGGAAAGGAAAATAAGAGCTTTTCACATGAGTGAACAAGAAATGCTGAGGAACAAGAAACCTATAATTAGACTAAACAATTGTCAACAGAAGGATGAGCTGGGGAAGACGGTTGATTATATATTTCCATTGACTCAGAGTAATAAACTCTTAAAGAGCTTCAGGTGTTTTGGGGAGGTCATACTTGATGCTCAGGGGCTACTCTCTGCAGGGACCATGTGGTGCCAGGGGACTGAGCCCAGGACTCATGCTAAGCATGGTGGGCAGCTGAACAACCCCAGCCAAAGCCATCAACCTTAACTACTTTCAAGCAATGCATCACTCTTTAAAATGTTACTTTATTATTTTTTAAATTGAATCCCCGTGGGATATGCAGTTACAAAGTTGCTCATGATTGGGTTTCAGTTATACAATGTTGCAATGCATCATTTAAAGTGCCTGCACAGGAAACCAATTTTACTTGCTTGGTGCACTCCTGGGACCTTGATTCCCCAGCCAGAATACTCACACCCAGGTACTGTGCACAGGTCAGGGGCGACCTGCTGCTCCCCCTGACAAATTGCAGCGGTTCCAGGCATTTCAGAGACGAAGCACGACCGCCCTCTTAAAGGGAACTGCAAGAGGAACTAAAAATGGTTGCAGTTGATGTCAGCCACGAAGAAAACTGAGTTGATCATCTAGGCTGCCTTCCAGAGTGAAGGGGCTGTAGCACCTCAGAAGACAAGTTTGACTAATAGTAGTGCTAGAGGGACCAGAGAGATAATACAGCTGGCATGTGACTACCTGGGTTCAATCCCCAGCACCACATATAGTCTCCTAAGCACCCCCAGGAGTGATCCCTGAGCATCACAGCGAATGTCATGTCCCAACACTCCCCCCCCCCCAAAAAAAAATACAGTGCTAGAATTTGGGTAAGGAATTTTCAAAACAGTAAACTTGGATGATTTTACATAGTGAAGTGATCTTTGAAAGTACAAAGATCAAGAACGGGGCCAGTGCATAGTATACGACGGGGAGGAGTTACCTTGCATGCGGCCGACCTGGGTTCGATCCCATGCATCCCATATGTTCCCCTGAGCACTGGGTAAGGTAAGTGCCCTAACTGCTCTACTGTCACTCCAGTCCCACTTTCCCTCCGTTTTTTCCATTTAAAAAGAAATAGAGAGGTGGGGTCAAGGGAAATGATGCAAGGGGCGCTAGCGTAGGCTTTGCACTGAGTAATCCGGGTTCGATCCCCCATCCCTGACAGCACCACTGGACATGGCTCAAAAACACACAAAAGAAAGAAAAAAATCTGGACGGGGGAATGAGAGAGAGAAAGGGAGAAAGAGACAAAGAGACTCACCAAGACAGAGCTCCATAAAGTAAAGGAAGAGAAAGGGCAGATTCTGAGCAGAGACGCAGGTGGCACCAAATGAAAGTTGGCTCAGCTCTTCCCGCGGTGCTCGCTAGGGGGCGCACGCTGGGCTCTGTGGCTAATTTCACTTTGTGTTCGGCCTCAAAGGCTGTCAAACAGTAGAGGTGCAGGGACCACCCTGAGTCCATGTGAGCAGTGCTGGAGATGGAACTCATAGCTTCACACTTGGAAGGCATGTGCATTTAACCACTGGCCATCGGGCCCCACAAATCGTTACATGGCTTTTTGGGGGAGTAGGGCTGGGGGTGTCATTTGGGGGCACATCTGGCAGTACTGCCATCAGGGTTCAGAGCTCCATGCTGTACCAAGGATAGAAACCAGATCTTCGTGCAAAGCGTGGCAATAGTCTTTGAACTATCTCCTACTATAACAATTGGCAACATTTTAATATACATTGTATATGAGGTGAAAGACTATCCAAGGTGAAATGTTTGAATTTAATAAATTCACTTTGGTTGTAAAAGATTATATTCTCCTTTGTAGGATACACATGCTTAAGATTTAAGAGGTGAGTGGTTACATTCTCTACAAATTGTATCAAGTGTTCTGGAAATGTCACTAAGTAGCAATGTGATTTCTTCATGGTATGAGAGAGAGAGAGAGAGAGAGAGAGAGAGAGAGAGAGAGAGAGAGAGAGAGAGTGTGTGTTT